TAGCCCCATGTAGAGCACATTGCAGTAGTCTATCTGGGAGATAACAAGGGCATGAATGACTGTTCGAAGGACATTTACTTGAATTATCATGATTATGGGAATGAAATGGATTTTGTTTCTACTCTGTTCAGCATGGATGCATGTTGGTATGGAAACAGTTTTTGACAACGTGACCACCTGTCACTCTGGTGTATTATTACTGTTGAAAAAGGAAGACGAAAAAAGAGATAAAGACAGACAATCCCAACTGATCGATCTTTGTTCTGGGACACAGTTTAGAGTTGAAAGGTGCTTAGCGTCACCTAGTCCAACCTTTGCTTGGTGCACCATTGGACAGGTTTTAGAACGGCTATATAAATCGAATGAAGTAAAATAAAAATGGCGTTCAAAAAAATATTTGATTTCTGTTGCAGGTTCTCCAGTTCTTACTGTCCTCCAAAGGATTCATTTGCCTCTTTTACTTGATTGATTTCATTTTATTGTCTTAGGTCTCTCAGGCTAAAGACAAGAACAATAACGCAGGAAATATTTGCAAATATTATCTAAGTAACCCATATCCTAAGCTAAACTAAAATAATCAAGGCAGTTTAGGGCTAGATTTAAAAAAAAAAAAAAAAAAACCTCGTACATCCTTTACATGAATCAGTTCTTGCAACAATAACCATTCTCAGATTCAAGGTCAGCTATTCTTAGAATCCAGACGTTCCACAAATCTAAATGTTTATTTGCTTGGAAATCAGTTCAAGGGGCCTCTAGCAGTAAATGAATTTTCCTCTTGAACTTGTTGCCCTATTCACAAACTGGGGTGAAAGAGGCTAGAATAAATTGGTGGTTGGAGAAATGCAGTGCCGATAAAACCTAAACTGACAGGTTTGCTTTATAGTACTTAATCTTTTTTCCTGACTTTTTTTTTCTGCAGTTGTATTTTTTTTAGGGATCAGCCACACCTGGAGAGAAAACTCTTATTTGACAAAGCCTATCTGCCATGCTGATCCTGACAAACTGACTGAAAGACTGAAAGAAAAGCTCAGAAGCACTCAGTTCCAACAATAGCCAGTCTGAACAGAACAATCTGTATCTGTAGTTCAGGGTATTCTCACCTATATCTGAATTAAAAAGGAAGGATTAGCAAATTGAGATGTCACAAGGTTCACCTTTGCTGGAAGAGATCCCATCTGGCATTAGGAAAACACACACACATGCACACAAACACACTGCAAACCAATCAAAACTGAATTCTGAGGCAGGACACGAACATTTCCAGAATAAATAAATGTTTCCAAAGTAAATAAAGCAAAAACAGCAAGAAAGTAAACTGATCTTCACTGCAGTTTCCTGCTGTGGCTTTCACCTAAGGAACTCACCCACTTATTTCAATTGGGGGTAAGGACTATGGAATTATTTTTTCCTTTCTCAGTTTGTGCCTAATTTATCTGCTTTCACACATTTGTGACTTGGGGTTGCCTACTGATCAGGAAAAAAAAAAAAATACTTTACCGGTCAACTGTGCTTTGAACTCAGCTTAAGCTGCAAAGTTGCAGGCCCTCCTAGGGTGCATTTAATACAACCACTTCTGCCCATCCGCAGATAAGCAGACCCTCAAATTTTTAACCAAAATACCATGAAAAATGCACCACCCGAGGAGAAGTTGACCCACATTTTTCATGGTGTTTTGGTTAAATTCAAGGGTCGGCTTATCCATGGATGGGCTTATATGTGAGTATATACAGGAAATATGGGTACTTTAAAAACTACAGAGGGGCTGTTCCATCCCCCTATATCATCATAGCTTATGAGGGAGGAAGGCCTGTCCACTATGATGAACATGGAGTTGGGACACTGTGGTAACTCTTGAGACCTGGCTGAAATTTCACCATCACTCCTCCATGGAAAAGATTTGGGCAGAGCGGGGGGCGGGGGGAGGAACAGGGCTCCTTTTGTATTATTATGATACACTTATCTTTTTTTTTTTTTTTTTGCTTCAGCATGGCACTGGGGAGATCTTTGCATTCAGAGGCATCTGTGGAGTGGATAAAAAAAATCAAGATGGTGGCCACAAGTGTGGGAATGAAGACCTGCATGAGGTAAAAATGTGGATGGCCTTTTCGTCACATGGTTGCAGCCACAAACTTGACCTTTTTTTTGACTCCTTCCCATGCAGAAGCCCCTGGGTGCCTTTGCTTCAGAAATCTGTAAGACTGAAAGAAACCACCCACCATATTTTGGGCAATCTCACCTTTCACTAAATGAGGCCAACAACGCCATCTCTGCCAATCATGATAGTGACAGTGAAAATAGAGTTGTGTCTCCACCCCCAGCCCATTTCATTTAATGAAGAAAAGGCAGAAAGAATTTTGCTGCCTGAAGATTTCTCAGGGCCGCCTTCTTCATCACTAATTCATCCAAGAACGCTTTGCAAAGACGTTAGATCATTACCGACATGCTGGCTGGGGAATTCTGGGAGTTGAAGTCCACACATCGTAAAGTGGCCAAGTTTGAAAAACACTGCTCTAGCCTGCGATAGACTGCACAAAGGTCATCTAATGGGAAAGGCGCCCCATATATTCTCCACTTGGTCCTCCCAGACAGCCTGTACTTCTTTTCAACTTTTTTGTTTTACGCTTAAGAGGCCAGGGGCATTGGGGTGGGGGTCAGCCACCTTAAAAAAGTAGGCACGGCCAGATGATTGAAACCCAGTCCTTTTTGTAAATGTGTGTGAAGTATGTGATGTGTTAAAAAAGGGTGGGGCTCTGATCCCCTGGTTGCGCCCCCCATTTTGATGGTGTTGACCTTCCCCCCCATCCTATAGAAGCCCCTGGCTATAGCATTCCCCATTATCAGGGAAGAAAACCACTTCCCTCAGGCTGTGAGAAAAAGTCACAGAACTGAACATTAGCTCCCTTGCTGGAAACTTTGTATCACTATCCCTTTCACTGGAGTAAATCTTGCTAAAGAGAACTCTGTGAAAATTGTGCTCGGAAAAAAATAATCACTTTCAGTTCAGGCAGCCTTGATGTTTTGTAGAAGGGGAAGCATTTCTGCATGCATTCAAGCATTTCTGAGAATGAGAATCAGATGTGAGTAATGATTAGCAAAGCAGGTTTTATGACAGTAATAAAGAGGAAAAGCGGATTAATGTATTGCATTTTGGGGAGCCCTGTCTTGTTTTGTTTGATTTGTGTTGTTTTTAGATTGTTTTAGTCTGAGCCATCTGTGATATTAGGTTTTATCCATTTTTACAGATTTTTTTTTTTTGGTACACTGTCCAGAGTCCATAGCAGTTGGATGGCTATCATATATTTGCATAAATAAATATTTACGGAAAGGCATGATAGCCCTGCTACTACATCTTATTAAGAGGAGACTCAGAGAGCAAGGCTGAGCATCTATGAGAACAAATGTGCAGAAGAAAGTAACCTGAGATGGTAAGTAGTCCTCGCTTACCAACCTCCCTGTTTAGTGACCGTTTGAAGTTACGACAGCACTGAAAAAGTAACTTTATGACCAATCCTCGCATTTACGACCCGCACAGAATTCCTGCAATCACGATTGTCATTCGGGCACTTCACAATGGTGGGCATTTATGACTGTTGCAGCACCCTGCAGTCACGTGATCACCATTTGTGTGCTTTGCACACATTGACTTGTGACAAGCAGAGTCAATGGAGAAGCTGGCCGTAAAATCACAAGTCACGGTCTTGCTTAACCACCACAGGTGATTCATTTAACAACCGCAACAGAAGTGCCATCATAAGTCTGTCACAATCACGTGATGTTTCGCTTAGTAACCGTGGCACTTTGCAATGGAATTGTGGGTCCCAATTGTGGTTGCTAGGTGAGGACTACCTGTACACAAAAGGCAGACAGAGGAGATGCTAAGTAAACATGTCACTTTCAGTGTATGCTGTCTTGTGGTCAAGGTGTGGAAGAGGCAGTGGATTCACACTCAAAAGCACCCTGCTACTGCATTGCACGCTCCATTCTTCTGGAAGGGCATGTAACATCATGACACATGTACAAAAGGGGTGGGACTTGCAGCACAACCCTACTTTCATCCTACTGACCTGCTGGATTTGACAACCCCCTCCCCCTGCAGTTACCACTCCTCACCCTTTCAACTGGGTTTCAGATTAAATTGCTCCCATGAGCCACCCAGAGTCACTGAAAGTTGGGCAGCATACAAGTTTAATATATTATTATTATTATTATTATTATTATTATTATTATTATTATTAT